CCGGCCGAGCCGACGTCGCCACGGCCGCCAGGCAGCGCCCGAAGCAGGCTGGGGCGGTGCCGCGCCCGGATGTGGCCCAGAGGGTGACGAGCGCTTCCGGGTCAGGGGGCGGAGCGCCGCGCGCGGTAGATTCGAAGACCGGGTGGGGCTGGCGGCCGAGGCTGTGGTGGCGGTGGCTTCAGCGCGGGGCGCGAGGCGGCGGCGGCCACACTCTGGCTTGGTGCTCGCGGCTCCCGGCGGCGCCATGGACGAGGCCGTGGGTGACCTGAAGCAGGCGCTGCCCTGCGTGGCCGACGGGCCGACGGTCCACGTGGAGGTGCTCCAGCGGGGCGGCAGGTGAGCGACCCGGCCAGACTCCCCCCGCCCAGTCCCTTGTGACCTTCCCAACCCGCTCGCAACTGACCTGAACTGATGCCGTTGCCCGGTTCCGTGTGGCCTTACCCGAACTGACCCGAGTCTACCCAACCCGACGCGGGCTGACCCGGACTGACCTGGCCAGACCCGACCTGACGTTGGTTGACCAGGACTGACCAGGCCGACCCCAGCTGACCTAGCCCAGCCTGCGGAGGTTCCCCTAGCCGAGCACATAGACTTGGCCCGCTCCGCCGGGCATTACCTGGGCAGGACCCTAGTGGGATAGAGCCTGGAGCTGGGTGGGAGAAGGCAGAATTACAGAGTCCACTCTAGGCTCTGGTCCCAGGTACGGGGGAAATCCCAAGCTGGGAACCAAGATATTACACTTGGAGCCCGCAGTTCTCAGGCCCGTTAATTTTCTCCTGATCCTGAAGTTTGGGGTATTTTTTACTATTGAAAGCAAATCCCACTCATTTGTGACCTTGAGCTGGGTCATGGTGTGGCTCCTATGGGGCCTGTGGGCTGTACCCCTCGCTGGGCATGTGGTGGCAGCCACTGCTGCAGCCCACCTGTACAGCCGTCTCAGAGCTCAGAGACTCCTGCACACAGGGTACACCACATACGACTGGACCTGGGCACAGATACACCCAGGCATAGCCACACCGGAGCTTACAGTCACACATGATGGCACCAGGGTTCAGGGACTTCCACTCACAATCAAACTACACATTGGGGTTGCTGCCTTGGAGGGTGCTGGAGGGATTGCAGAGCAACCATGAATCACATGCCTGGGTCTGAGGAGCCAGTACAGGGGGCTCACAGGGAGGCCGACTACGAAAATCTGTAAGGTGCCTGTGATTGCTCAGCCTAGTGAGCTGGGATAGTGCATGGGGAGGCGCAAAAGTGTGACCTCAGAACTACGCTGGCGTAGGAAGGGGAGTATCAGGACAGCAGTGAGTGGGGCTGAAGGGAGCCCTAGGTGCCAGCCTTGCCCCATGACATTTTGTTAGCATGAGGCTCAAGTCTTAGAGGCTCCTTACGATCCAACTCCAGGCCCGATGCTACCCTGTGCAGTCTCATCCTTTCCTTGACAGTATGACAGCCAACATTTGTCAGGTGCTGGCTGTGTGCCGGGTGTTGCCCTAAACACCTGAGTGTGTTGCCCCATCTTTATTTAGTAGCCCTGTGTAGCAAGAGCTCTTACTGCTACTCACTGCGTCCAGTTGGGAGCCAAGGAGCAGGCTGCCCAGCTGGTGGAGGAGCCACCAACAAGGGTAGCCATGGTGCCAATCGCAGCAGGCCGCCTCCATTTCCATCCTCTTAACTACTGCACTCTTAGGTGTGGTCTGAGTTTGTGAAAAAGCACTTAATTTTAAAATTTTGCTTTTTAGTTGCAGGTGTTTATGTGTATTTTATTTTGCTTTTAGTACTGCAAAAAAGGAGGACATAAAGCTGAATGTTAAGAAGCTGCTCAACAGACACAATATAGTGTTTGGTGATTACACATGGACTGAGTTCGATGAACCTTTTCTGACAAGAAATGTACAGTCCGTGTCTGTTGTTGACACAGAATTAAAAGTTAAAGACCCACAGGTAAGTTACTAGTTAGGGCCAAGTAATACTTAATATTTTGCTGAATATGATGTCAGGATCATGAATATCTTTTCTATTTTGATAGCATATTGTCAGAAACTGGTTCACATGTGTATTGGTTTGTGGAGTAGGCAGCCTATGGTGTCTGTCAGGAGCCAGGCCCTAGTAGAAGGAATGGCCCTATCGTCAGGATTTGCATCATTGTACCTGCTCTCTGTACAGTGGGAGGACAGGCTGGAGCCCAAGAACCAAAGCACAGTCCTGCAGAACAGTGGCCTGCACTGACGAGGCTGTGCACCTTGTCTCTAGTTTTTCGGTCAGCAAATGTTCATGAAGTGTTTGATGTGTGTTTGGACCTTAGGAGGTGGGGCGTTGGGGCTGCAGAGTCAGGCTTATCTAATAGATGCTCTTCATCTTGTCCACTCTGGACTGCCTCACTCTCACCTTACTAAGCTCACATGTGGGAGTTTAGAGCATTGTGTGAGGGCATGAATGTCCTGGGGCAGTCCTAGCACCAGTTTAAAAACACCCAAGGTAGAGCAGCACCTGTGGCTCAGTGAGTAGGGCGCTGGCCTCATATACTGAAGGTGGCGGGTTCAAACCCAGCTCTGGCCAAACTGCAACAAAAAAATAGCTGGGCGTTGTGGCAGGCACCTGTGGTCCCAGCTACTCTGGAGACTGAGGCAAGCGAATCACCTAAGTCCAGGAGGTCAAGGTTACTGTAAGCTGTGACGCCATGGCACGCTACCATGGGCAATAAAGTGAGACTCTGTCTCCTAAAAAAAAAAAAAAAACACCCAAGGGCCTCACAACCATGGGCCTCACACCTGTAATTCCAGCACTTTGGGAAGCTAGGAGTTTGAGACCAGTCTGGACAACATAGCAAGACCTCCATCTTTACACAAAAAATAAAACAAAACAAACAAAAAAATAACCTGAAATGTATTGTGAGGAAGACATATGACTTACACCTGTGCAATTCCTGTCTTATAAAGAATCAAATTTGAAGAAGTTGATAGTAAGTTCTGCTCATGAGGCAGACCTCCACATTTGTACATTTGGACTTGTGTTTGTGACAGTCAGAGCTGGCTTGGTGGTTTGGCCAGTTTGAGGAGAAGCCTTCCTGGCATTCTGTGGAAGGACAGATTAGCGCAGCCTAACTAGGGTGTTGGGGCTGCCCAGGGAAAGTTTATTTTTATTTACTTATTTACTTTTTTAGGCACCAGAATTTTTATTTACCCACCTTGGTGGTTTCTTGTAACATTATAAGCCAAATCAATCTGTTTTTGACCCAAGTTTGTGAAAGGAACCACCATGTTACAAAGTAGTGGCAGTTTTGTGTCCGCTTTTATTTTTCTGGCCCCTGCCAACCTCTGCTGTCATTTGTCTTTTCTTGGTTGTCCCTTAGTAGTCTAACCTCTATAAAATCGGGACTGAAAATACTAACCTTGTTGTTATGACGGTTAAGAGAAAGCCAAGCTCTCAGCAACATTCAAACTCCCACTGGATCCTCCTCATCTTTCAATAAAGCTCCTTCTCAGATTGGGTGTGGTGGCTCACGCCCATAATCCTAACACTTTGGGAGACTGAAGCAGGAGGATCACTTAAGGCCAGGAATTGGAGACCAGCCTGAGCAAGAGTGAGACCCCATCTTTAAAAAAAATAATCAACTGCACAGGGTGGCATGAGCCTATAGTCTCAGCTACTCAGGAGACTGAAGCAAGAGAATCACTGAGGTTGAAGTGAGCTATGATCTCACCACTGCATTCTAGCCAACAAAACAAAGCAAGACCCTATCTCAAAAAAATAAAAAAATAAAGCTTATTCTCATCTGTCATAGTTGGATAGACTAGTTAACCTGTAAACCAAGCACGTGGGTCCATAGGCTAGGTGAAAGCCTAGAGGATAAGGTACATGGGTACACTACCAGCTTCCAGCTTAGAGGACTGACAAGTGAGCAGTTCCAAGACCACCAAGCTCATGGTTTCCTGTGGTGTATCCTTCTCTCATGACTGGTCCTTAGGCGAGCCCTCTCAAGTCCCCTGCCACACTTGAAACAGCTGAGAGATGTGCAGAGGCCATTGACTGAACGAACAGCCTGAGGGAGTCAGTAGGGGCACACAGGAGTCTCAGACTTGGTGTCATCTCTTAGGGAGGTAGGGAGGTGAGATGGGGCCTGGACAAGGACAGCAGCCCGAAGGTGCAGGGCAGGGCTGTCTCTCAGTAGCGGTAATGATCAGGCTTGAAGGGGCCATCACAGGGCATACCCAGGTACTTGGTCAGCTTCACGTTCAGCTTACCCAGATGGGCTTCAGCCACTGCCTCATCCAGCTTTTTAGGCAGGAAGTGAACCCTGATGGGGTACTTGCCTGGGTGAGTCCAAAGTTCAATCTCTGCTAGCGCCTGGTTGGTTAAGGAGTTACTCATCACAAAGCTAGGGTGGCCCATGGCGCAGCCTGGGTTGATCAGCCAGCCCTCAGCCAGCAGGATTATGTGGTGCTCATTCTTCAGCAAATAGAGGCCCACTTGGGGCTTAATGTTCACCTTCTCCATAGCATTCTTATTAAGCCACTTGACATCTGTCTCCACGTCAGAGTGTCGAGTATTACACAAGACAGCATCATCCTTCATTTGCGCCAAATGCCAACTGAGAATGATGTCAGTACAGCCTGTGGTGGTGACAAAAGATGTTGCCCTCATCCATAGTGGTCACTTCATAGCCCTTCATGGCAGCCTGTAATGTGTTGATGGTGTCAATCTCAGTGATGGTGACGCAGGCCCCAAAACCCCTCAGAACCTGGGCACAGCCCTTGCCTACATCACCATAGCCTGCTATTGCCACCTTGCTTGCATTCATATCTGTGGCCCATTTGATGCCATCAGTAAGGGACTTTGGGCAACCATAAAAGTTGTCAAACTCGCTCTTGATGACAGAGTCATTGACATTGATGGCGGGCACTTTCAGGATCCCACTGGCCATCATCTTGTATAGGTTGTGGACCCCAGTTGTGGTCTCCTTAGAGATACTGCAGATGCCTGAGAGAAACTGCGGGTACTCGGTGTGGATAAGGTTGGTAAGGTCACCACCATCGTCCAAAATCATCTTGACCTTAAAGTACAGCATCTGCTTGATACACCACAAGTACTCCTTGTCCATCTCACCCTTCCAGGCGAACATTGGAATTCCAGTCTTGGCAGTGGCAGCTGCTGCATGGTCCTGGGTAAAGAAGATGTTGCAGCCAGACCACTGTACCTCAGCACCCAGGGTGATGAGGGTCTCAATGAAGATGGTGATCTCTGCAGTCATGTGCAGGCGCCCCCTCAAGGGCTTGGAGGCTAAATATGTCTCTCACGTGCACCTCAGACCTGGCATCTTGTTCTCTGCCATGTCCAGGGCCTTGCGCCCCCGGTCCACCAGGCTGATGTCAGTGACTTTGTTAGGACAAGTTGTCAGACGTGCTGGCAGTGCTTCTGCACCAGTGATGGACATGGGCGAAGGGGGTGGGCCTCACACTGGGGAACCAGAATCAGCAGGCCCCAGGGAAAGCTTAGCATTCTCTTTCTGCCTATAGATTTACTTATAATAATTCAGCTTAATATAATTGAGTACTTTTGTATGAGCAAATGTTTATTACATCTTGTTAATCTAGCAAATTGAAATATGTTACCTGTCCATCACTCAGATTAGTTAATGGATATATGAAATTCATACAGCTATACCAAATATGATATAGCCATTAAAAAGAATGAAATAGATTTGTATCTACTGATACAAAAGTGTCTCTCAGCTATACTAAGTAGGAAAAGGCACAAGTTAGATAACTATGGAATGGGACTCCGTCTTTGGTTAAATCTGTGATTATACCATATACTGTAACATCTCTGAGGTTGGATTCAGGAGACTTTTCTTCGTTCTGTTAATATACGTATTGTTTATATATTTCTTTCTTTTTCTTTTTTTTGGAGACAGAGCCTCAAGCTGTCCCCCTGGGTAGAGTGCCGTGGCATCACAGCTCACAGCGACCTCCAACTCCTGGGCTCAAG